AGAGGGAGAACAATGTGGAACAAAACTCAAAATCATTTGGAGGGGAAAAAAAAAAAAAAAGGTGAGGACCAGGTTTGCTGGTCCAATGGTGCCTGGTGGAACCACTGAGACTATGGCCCCTAGCGGCCCTTCAGGTGTGGAATTGAACCCACACCTGTGGTTTCAAGCCAAACAATGTACATGCATGTGAGTTAAACATTTACCTGAAGTAGACACACGCCCTGGAGAGAACAATCATGGGAGAAGGAAGGGCTGCTTATGCACAGGGAGAAGCTCAGGGCTCAGGAGAGTATGGAGGGATGGTCACTGGGAAGAGGTAACTATGGGGAGGAAGGGAGGGGAGCTGTTGCATTGTGGTGAACTGTGGTCAATGACATGAGAAAAGTATATGTGAACTGCTGTATGGAAAGTGAATTTGCTCTGTAAATCTTCACCCAAATCACACACACAAAAAAAGAAAAGAAATGCTGATTCCTATGTATCCTTTGGGAGCTCTGGGGGTGTAGTGCCTAGGGCATCTGACTGGTAACCAGAAGGCTGGTGGTTCAAACTCACCAGCCACTCCTCAGAAGGAAGATTAGGAAATCTACTTCCATAGTGATACCACCTCGGAAACCCAAGAAAGGGTCGCTATGAGTCAGATCCCACTCCATGGCAGTGAGTTTTTTAGTTAGTTGAGATGTATCCTTTGTGTGGTAGTTAATTTTGTGTGTCAACTTGGCTAGGCCTGGTTGAGTGGCTGGTCAGCTGGATTTAGTATTCCCCATGATGAGACTGGTAATCACCTCCACGGTGGAATCTGTTGTGAGCAGCTGAGTAGCTGCCTTAAGGTGTGGTCTGCTTCCTTTATATAAGGTGAAGCCTTGGGGAACAGTCTCAAGCTTATGGCATGCTTGAACCCTGCATGTAGCTGAGTCGTTGTTCAGTAGCCTGCCATGCTCTGCCGATCTTGGGACTTTTAATGGACTTGAATTAACGGCCTGCTGTATGGTTTGATAATATCGGGACTGTGCCGATTACTTGTCAACCTTGGGCTTGTCAGCCTCAACATCCAGCAGCTGAGTGAAGAAAAGCCTTCAGCTTCAGTGGGCCAGGAGCAGGAGGCAGAGCTGAAACCCAAGACTGAGGGGCTTTCACCCAGCCCCTGGAGCCTAGCACTTTGAACTTGTTTAAAGCCCCCAAACTCCAAGAGAATTAACTCCTATTTGTTCAAGCCATCCCTCTTGTGGTATATTCTTATATTCTTGTCAGAGCAGTACTAGGTAACCAGA